TTTGAGTATGAGTAGACACACGTCATGGGTAGAGACATGAGGACAGCGAATATTACAATAGAGATATATTTTCAAACTAAATGGCTGAGCAAAAATTAATTTAAGTGCTTTAATAAGGCATTTTTCAATTTTGTTTTTTAAGTAAATCAATTTTTAGAATCTTTTTTCAATTAATCAATTCAGATTTCTAAAAATAATTTTATTAAAAGCACGCAAAATAGAAATTTTATAATTCAATTCAGAGGAATTAATTGTGATTGACTTTTGAATGGCAATGAATTTTGCGATATGACATAAGTGCTATTCTCTAGAGTTCATTAGCAGTTTTTCTTACATTTTCTATTTCAAAGTATTTCCTTTTCTCCCTACACATGTTATGTATATATGTACGTTTATACTATAAATTAATAAAAATTATTTATACTTTTTGCGTATCTGATTTTTTATTTTATTATTAATGGAATCTGGTCAATTATTGAGTCTGCGAAACCGAATTTTTTGTTTGTTTATATAAAATTTTGGATTTTGCAAAGAAAACAATTAATATTTTCTGCTTTCCATATTTCAATTTTGTGTTTTTTGATTTTGTTTTTTGATTTTGGTTTTTGATTTTGTTTTTGATTTTGTTTTTGATTTTGTTTTTATTATAAACAAAAGAAAACTGTACGTGAAATATTTGAAGTATTTTTAATAAGAAATTTTTGTAAAGTTATATTATTATTATTGATTTCTTTTTTAAATTTAAATTTAGGTGTTTAAATTAATTTACAGAGAAATATGGTTTTTGATAAAATATTTTAATTACAATATATTTATCCAAATAAAAGTTAAGTAAATTTTATAAGGTATTACCATAAATAATCAAAAATGACGTTTTTATTTATGTTATATTATGTAATTACTTAAATTTAAATAAATTGAATATCATATCTTGTGTTTTGCCTGAAAAGTAGATCTAAAATGTGTAGTGTTTTATACCTTTAAATATTCTATTTTTAAAAAATAAAGTTAGTGCTACAAGAAAGTTGCTGAGTTAAGGTTAAGTTGAAGTGGCAGCGCCTTCAGATCACTGAACTATACGTAGGTACAAAAAATGTTCCATTGTAATACTACAAATTTGACACCATCCGTACGCCTGAAAAACTGAAAAACCATCTTAAAAGTGGATGTCATAAATATACATGAACAATCGTGCCTTTGAAAAGGGCAAGTCCTCCATTCATATTAAAGGAAACTAACCTCACAAATTTTGAAACTGGACTTTGTGTCTTATTTTAAAGGATGACAGATATATCAGTTTATTTGGAAAAATATGCTAAAGATCTTGAATCTCCTCCCAGTCAGGGAAATTCCTGGAGTGAAGTTTAGTGAAGTTTCTTATCCTCAGAGCTACAACCCTGATAGTTAACCCTGATATTAATATTAATATTAATATTAATAATTATTAATGTTATAATATTAAGATCTAAAGTGATTAATTGTTCACTTATATAAAGATATTGAACACAAACTAGACAATTGTGAGGTATAGTTTTAACTCAAACATAAAAATACTACAATGATTTCAATCTAAAATGCTTAGATTGAGCCAGGTTAATATTATTAATATTATTATATTTCAGTTTTCCCTGAAGATGACTATCGAAGATAGTCGAAATATCGGAAATAAAGTTTAAACGATTTTTAAATATAAATAATAAATCAGTGTCTTTTTATTTATATTTAAATTTGACCAATTAGCCCGGTAACAAATTATTATATTAATAATTATTTGTAATTTTAGTAGATGTTTAACTTATCTTGTGTTTAACTTAGTAGATCTTATTACCTTTAGACAAAACGAATATTCTTGAATATATGAGAAATTTTTTTAATTGAAAATTTGATTTTTAAATAAGTGAAAACCTCAAAAACCTTTGGCGATCTAATGCAACTTTGCAGAACTATTTTTTTAAACAAAAGTTTTAAAATTAAAAAAAAAAAAATAATTTATAATAGTTAACAAAATCTATGTAGCTGTGGTTTATGCATAAGTTCTGTAATAAGTGTTCATACAAATAAAAATTAAAAATTTACAAAACCTGAATTGTACAAATTAATTAACACAGGCTTTGTGTATTAACATTAAGTTTTAGGGGTCAAATTTGACAGTCTTCAATTTCTAACACTTGCAGGCTTCAATTCTTAACACTTCAAAAATTATATAAGGACAATTAAATCCATAGATATTTTCAAAAACCATTGATGATGAATATTTTGCTATATTTGAAACTGTGTTGTTAATCCAAAAACTCATTTGAATAAAAGTTTGATAATAAATTTTTAGAATTTTGGTTATAAGTTTTTTTTGTTATTTTTATTATTTTTATTATTTTTATTATTTTTATTATTATTATTTTTATTTATTATTATTTTTATTTATTATTATTATTTTTTTTAAAACAACTTATATTCACAAAATATTGGTCTCGCCCGTGCGACTAGTGGATTAAAATTAGTATGACTTTCTCAGCATTACGTTCCTAGATTAGGTTCTATACATAAGAAAGAACAAATCATGCAACAAATAATGCCTCTACGAAGAGAATAGTATTGAAATTTAACAATTGAAAATAAAATTATAATTAATTAATTAATTCAATTATTTTACAGCTGGTTTATGATTTCGTTCTAATATAAACACAGTAAGTAAAATTGTTAATAAAAAATTTCATAGCAAAAGTAACAAAACTATAGAACAAAAAAGTCAAGTACGGCTTTGGTTCAGTTGGTTAAGGTGCGCTGATTCTGAGTTTCACATTTGGCAGGACCCGTAGTTCGATTCCTGGTACTTGCAGTCTCAAAAATAATTATTTACGAATAATTAAATACAAGAATTATTTCCAAGACCACTGATGATGATGGGCAATACTTGACACAGCTGTATGGTCCGCCAAAAATTCAATTAATTAAAATAATATAAAATGAATTTTTGTTGTTGTACTTCACTACTGTTCGAAAAAACCTCTTTATTAAATTTTTTATATATTTTTTTAATATTTTTTCATATATATGTTTTTATATACTTTTATTTTTTTTTATAATGTTTTTATATTTTTTAAATTCTTTCAATAATATCCAAAAATGCATAAAGGTTTTTGTTTTCCTACAAAATTCAGTGGAAACTTTTTGACATATAAAGGAAGTTTTAGTATTGTTTTCATTTGAATTTAAAATATTTTTCATTTTTATTTGATTTAAAGACTTTCAACAACAGCAACATGAACTTCCCCCAAAAATGTTTCAAGACTTCAGACTGTTCGCGAGCATGTCAAGAATTTGTGCATTTTAATTAAAGAATTTAACACTTTGTTTAGACTTTTACTTCGCCTGTCAAAGCGTACAAAAATTAAATAAAAACGAAAAAACTTTTCTTCAGTAATAAACAAAAACGTTCTTTGTGTCTTTGTTGTCGTAAACGAAGAAAAAAGTAATTTCGTGGTTTTGAACTTTACAAAGAACTTACTCCATTCAGTGCCCTAAATGTTACAATTAATATTAGATTACCATATGTTCCAGTTGTAGGAAGGGCTCCATAAACTTCACTGTATATGTCGTTCGGATGGGGCAGCAAAAGCTTCAATCATTTATGCAACTGTGCACACATTTTCCATTAAACTCATCTCGTTTTTCGAATAAATAAAAAAAATTAAAATAATGTAAATAACTTCTGTTTGAAAGACGCTTTATTTTTACATTTGATGTTTTTTGAACTTCTAGACTTTACTATCAGAAAATACATCGGACGATCATCATTGGCCGCGTGAACTGATCTTACTACGTGAAAAGTTTACAGCAAAAAGTCAACTGGAAATTGCTCAACTGCAAATTAAACATGAAGAAGAGGTATAGCTCTATTAAATATATATCAAATAAAACAGTTATTTATTATTGTATTTTTCATCATTTATTAGATGTCGCGCTTAAAACTGGAGTACGAGAAACAATTAAATCGCAAAAACAAACGTCACACAACGTTTGATTTGGCGCGAAATTATGAAGAAATCATCAGTGAACGTGATGGTTTACGGGAGTTGTCATGCGCCTTTCGATATGTGCTCTCCGAATTGGCAAAATGTGTCTCACAGTGTGAAGAAGATGCAAACACTACTTTAGTTGATGAAGTGCAACGTATTTTGGCAAATAATCGTACTTTGGAAGAACATGTAGACGATTTAGATTTTAATCTTAACATGACATTAAACACTACTCTGAATTCTACTTCGAAAAATATGCGTTTTGTGCCTGATGTACAAAATATATTAGAAGTCGTAGAGGATCCGAGTCTGCTACAATACATAAGTAACAAAAGTGGCGAGTGTAATGATGAATTTGACTTGAAAGATTGCTTGCAACGTTTAAAAACAGAGGCTTCTTATTTGCTACATCTATCAGAAGACTTACAAAACCGTCGTAAACGCCAAAGAAGTGAATCTAGTGGTGGTGAGAAAAGTGATAGTTGTTGTGAAGCAGAAAGTGATCTGAAGGAACGCTCGTTTATAAAAACTCGTAAATTTTTGCGTACAAACTCTTTAAATGAGCAACACTTGACCACCTATCAAAAAACAGTCACAACAAAAACACAGCTCAATTCCTTGCCACCTGATTTGAATACTATACGTGTTCAAGGTTCTGGTACCTCTTCCACATCTGGTGGTAATGTTTCTGAAATTAATTTCCAATTGCATGAATTGAAGAATCGACTTATCAAATCCGAGTCGGATCGTTTAAAGTTACAACAAGAATTGGAACATACCATACATCGTAATGCTGAATTAGGACAGGAGTTGCAAAATTTACGTGATCAAATATCGCAATTAAATTCACTAAATCATACCGATTATGCAGAAGGTTATGGTCTTGGTTCGCTTAAAAGCCCACGTCAATCCGGCATTGATCAGTCTTCTAGTTTTGCGCAACTGCAAGAAAAAGCACGTAACATTCTCTCTACACCTACGCAGAAGAAGGATGATAATAACACAACGGTTGTCCTTTTACAAATGATAGAAGATTTCTGTCGTGAAGGTGAAAAAGTTGTTGAATGTAATAAAAAGGATAGAGACGATTTGCAATCCCAGGTGAGTTTTTGGTTCTTTGTTTTATTTAGTTATTTATTATAAATATGTAGCTTTATTATTTTATTCTAAATTGTGAATTGTTTAATTCATGTATAGTTATCTTATATATTATTTTTGTTATTAAATCATTCAATAATATTCCATATGCATGATGTATATATACGTTATTCATGTTGTGCTAAATATACAATTAAATATACATATATACTAAAGTTGTAAATAGATTACATCTGAAAGATATACTTTAATATACACGCAATAATATACATTACATAAGTACATATATAATATACTTTATTATAATACCATAAATATATTATTTAGAATACATATATTTTAGTTTAATATTTATATAATAGTGGTAGTTTAAATATTCATGTAGTGATTATATGACGTTAAGGATGTATATATATGTAAAAATAAATGTGTTTTATATATGTAATATAATATATGTAATATAATATATGTAAAATATATATATAATTTTCTTATGACTGCTAAAATTTGTATATGTTTAATTATATATAGTTGCTATATTGTTTATTGTATTTATAATTATTGTATTACTTATTAATATATAATATTTTATAAATTATTGTTTACATATTATAATTCAATTCATATAACCTTTATTTAATGATTCATCTATATATTATGTTACATTATGTATTTTGTGTATTATGTATTAT